GTGTGTGTGTGTGTGTGTGTGTGTGTGTGTGTGTGTGTGTGTGTGTGAGAGAGATGCTAAACTCATGTTTGTATGTGCATTTCTTTGTATGCTACTGTGTGTTTCTACAGTCTCACAAAAAAAACATCCGAACTGCCTCCATCAACAGGAAAAAACATCTTTCTGACACAAAGCCACATTCCTCGCTGCTCCAATGCCACAAATGCTGTGAAGGTCCTTTAATCCCACAAAATAGATTAACTACCCGTAATGACCCACATACTGAAACAACGGAACAAACCACTTCTGAGGCAGAGAGAAAAAGCTATGCTGGTGAAATATCCAAATTGTGGTTTTGCTGTATTTCTTTGGAAAGCAGCAGTTACTTTGGCAGGGATTTAATGTGTGGAAAAAAATCATACAGAAAGTGTAATAATATATATTAAACATCTGTAGGCTGTTACAGTGATGTTTAGGCTCATTTCACCATGTCCACCTCCAATTTAAGAACAACAGCAATAAATATGGTCAGGAGGATTAACGGGCAACGCAGGAATTGAGTTGTGGTCTGAGGAAAACGCTGTTGTGAACTGTACAGGTATTATAGCTTTAGGTCACGAGACCTACTTAAAATGAGCAAACATCAGTAGTAATGACTTTCCATACACATTACACTTTTCCTCTTGAGCTGAATCTGGTGGCAGAAACCCTTCTGGGACTAAAATAGATGCAGTATACAAGTCTGCAAAGCCTCCTCATTGAATAAAACCAACCACACAAACTCATAAAGATAGCTCTGTATCTTTACAGCTGGTGCAGCCTGGAACACATTAATTCACAACTTTAAAAAGCAGTGCATTTGAAATCTAAATTGTCAAAAAACAACTGACTTAGCATTGATTCACCACAGCCACCATGATGTAAAACAGCTCAAAACTCCTTCTTTTTCTATGCATTTCTTTCCTTGTTGCTTGTGAAACATGTAAACACATATATAATTTCCTAGGCGTGTGTGTTCATGTCTAAATTATTCTTTGTGTGTGTGTATAGCGGCATGCGGCGGTCTCCTCTCTAAGTTGAACGGGACCATCAGCACTCCCGGTTGGCCGAAAGAGTATCCGCCCAACAAGAATTGTGTGTGGCAGGTGGTCGCTCCCACTCAGTACCGCATCTCCATGCAGTTTGAGGCCTTCGAGCTGGAGGGAAATGAGGTGTGTTGTCTTTTAATAACAGGGAGATGCTAAGCATAGCAGAAAATGTGTTGATGCTTGTTACAAGAGCCTTATTTGTGTGTTTAGGTGTGTAAATACGACTTTGTGGAGGTGCGCAGCGGCCTTTCATCCGACTCTAAGCTGCATGGTAAATACTGCGGCACCGAGGTCCCTGAGGTCATCACCTCTCAGTATAACAACATGAGGATTGAGTTCAAATCTGACAACACAGTCTCCAAGAAAGGCTTCAAGGCTCACTTCTTCTCAGGTAGGATACATGTGTTAAACCTGTGTGTGTGTGTGTGTGTGTGTGTGTGTGTGTGTGTGTGTGTGTGTGTGTTTGTCGGGGGTGGGCATAGCAGTGTATTTTGTTTCGTACATACAGATGAAGAAGTTAAATATGGTGTAGGAGCAGGTTGAGAAGCTTTCCATGTCCCTTGTATGAAGCTTGAAAAATAATCCACCAGCACATTTTCTGCATTTCTCCGCTCATCTGATATCAGTGACGGGCAGAAATTTCTATGGGTTGATATTAATTTATAATTGAATCAGCTACTGATGACACATCGAGTGGTGTCTCATTTCCTAGGTAGAGACTTCAAACCCTACCCCTTGTGGCTTTGTTCTTTAAGGGCCACTACTCCTTCAAGGGCGCCTCAAAACTAGGGGTAGGGCCAAGGGAAGGGAATTAGGATCGGGCCCAAAATGTAGTTAAGATTAGAAAAAAATCATTGTCATGGTTAAATATCAAAAAACAATTAAAGCTAACTGATGGTGTAAGATGGAAACCAGGGTCTTTACCTGGCCATTTAACCCCCCCCCCCCCCCCCCTCCCACCCACTACCCCCGTACCTTTACTTTTTACTGTGCTACATCAACACCACACACATTTCTTCCATTCCTGATTCCTGATCGGCCCACCTCCATTGCGTGTTCATTTGTGTGTGTGTCTGCTTGCACGGTTTTAGTATGTGTGGAATCATCCATACATATGTCATGCGTTACACCCTCTCTGTTCCTCTGTCTGTCTACATGTGTCTGTCTGTCATGCTGTGTCTCCTGAGCCTCCGCCGGCTCTCAGGCCTCCTGCACACATCACCCTGCGCTCTGCCCTCTCTCCCTCAGACAGTCTGGCTCTGTGTCAAGAGCGTATGATTGTGTTTGAGTCATGCCAGGACATTAGGCGCAGTCGCTCTCCCACCCGTGGCCATTTCAACAACAAGCTGGCAACCTCACCAAAGGTCAGAGGTAACATGACCTCACAATCGGAATCTCTGATTGGCTCTGGTCTCTCCTGTGATGAGGGAATGGATGGATCCCGTCTTAATGGCAGGGATCATCGTTTGAATCCATTCTCCTCCAGAGGGAAACATGTGCTTTGTCCCAATTTAATATTAGTACAACACAATACAATATTAACATTTAGCCACTTTAGCATTCCATGCAAACTGCCATTAAAATCGTATAAGCAACATTGTTATGGGAGCTTTGTTTTACGCTTATAAAAAATGTAGTCTTATTTTATTTGACTTTGCAAGTGTGAGATATAGGTGTGTCTATATTTTTATACTGGTTAGACATAGATATTTTCAAACTGCAGCTGCAATTGCCAGTTGCAAATGATTATATTTTTATTGTCTGATGTGTTCTAGAAATGTCACAACTGCCCACTGCTTATTTATATTTCAAATTCAATTTAGTTTTAATTTGTTGGAGATGTGAGAAGGTGCTTCTTTTCTGTTGTGCATTGCATCATATGACATCATCATCATCATCATCATCAGTACCACACTCAAAAAAAAGATATATTCAGTGAATATAGTGTAGTATAGTATAAAGTATGTATGTCTTAATTTTGTTGCTTTCCAAGCATGAACACACTACATACTGGAAAGAGTTTGGACGTAGTATTGAATTGGGACACACCTATGATTCCCCACTAAAAACAAAACAAATATCCTCTACTCGCTGGGATAAATTTGTTGAATTTCAATTCTATTTAACAATTTTAGGAAGTTCTGAAGAAAAATCTCTTTTCATACTCTCTCATAACTTAAAACGGAAATGGCAAAACGGATCCAAAAAAGCCTCCTCCTCCTTCGTCAGAGGAAGCAAAGCTGTCATTTGGATGAGCTCATCAAAATGAAACTACCTCCAGAACACCTGGAAGTTAAAGCACTCAGTGGAGAGTTGCTTCAAAGGGAAATTACTTACTCAGATATCGATAATGTGTGTGTGTGTGTGTGTGTTAAAAGTTGCCGCGTGAGTCTCTTTGCTATTGTCAGAAGCTTTTGGTTGGCAAAGATCCAGCGGCTTTCGGGAGGTCCCTCCGGCCTACCACACACTACTAATCCATGTGAGAGTGCACGTGTGGTGAGTGTGCACGCGCGTGTGTGTGTGTGTGTGAGTGCGTGTGGATATTGTGTGCTTAACCTGAAGAAAGCCACAATGCACACTGTGTAACATCTACCGCAAAGCTTCTTAGCCCGCGTTAGGGTGAGACTGAGCCCACAATAGCACCGTAATACCACATCAGACACAGACAAACACACAGACTCACCAGGAGAGGAGGATTTAGTGGTTTCATTAAAAGCAGATCTAGTTTGATTTGCAAGGTCTTGAGTTGAGGTGAGACTCGCCGTCTGTGTCTAATCTCACATCTCTTTATAGGAATCTGTCTCTCACTCCCAGTCACAAACACGCTCTGCTCTATTTCCCACACTCACATGCTCTGTCTTCCTGCGCAGTCATCTGTAGATCCCCACATCTCTGTCTCTGACACCATCACTGTTGTCAACATGGCAGCCCCACACAGAGCGATTCTTCCCTGCTCCTTCCACCTCCACCCTGTGAGCTTTCAGTGTTCAGCTCCATTAAAATGGGCTTTGTCATCACCCAGTCCCAGTCAGGAGAAGCCGTGTGTTTAGAGGAAGCCACAAATCAGAGGATGAGGGAGAGAAAGCACCTCAGTTGTGTTCTTTGTTCTTGTCTTAACGCGTTGACCTCTTAAGCAGCAGCATTCCAGTCAGTGTAAACTCATGCTGTACAGCCAAACATTGTTCAAGTTTACAGACAACTTTATTGCAAGTTTTTCGTCGAGAACTAAATCTCCAAAGATGCCAAATATGAATTTTGGGGAAATGATGCAGCCAATTGAAAATTAAGTCTTTAGGTTTGAATATTTCATTCACGGTAAAACATATAGCTTCAATGAAGAGGAATGCCAAGCTGATCCAGAATATGTATGATACTGTCAGACAGTGTTGAAGATTATTTTTACAAGCTTAAAGCTATTTAAGGTGAAACAAAGGGGGAAATAAGTTTGTTAAAGGAATTGTTTGACATTTTGGGAAATATACATGTTCACTTTCTTGCCAAGAATTGGATGAGAAGATCAATACCACTGTTAAGTATGCAGCTCCAGTCAGCAGTTGGTTAGCTTAGCTTAGCACGACTGAAATGGGAAAAACAGCTAGCCTGGCTCTGTCCAAAGAGTAACAAAATCCATGAAAGAGCACTTCTAAAGCTCACTAATACAACCTTTGTAATGGCTGTACAAAACCCTGTTGTGACCACAGGCAGCAGAGTTTAAATGCTAAGCTAAGCTAACCATCTGTTGGCTGTAACTTCATATTAAGCAAGCATTAGATAGATCTTCTCATCTAAATCTGCAAAAAGAAAATTAGGCATCAAGTTGTTCTTTTTAAGGTCTCTTTAATTGTATCGGTTTTAACTATTTTAATTTAAATCCTAAAACGGCTCCTTTGCCTTGCTGTACCAACATCACTGTATCGCCATCATAGAAATACGAGCCATGCCAACTAAGGTGTTAATTAGCACAAAAAAATGAATGATAATAATAACTGTAATAGTTGATTTAATGTAAGGCAACCATTTAATATACAGTAGTAAGTATTCTCAAGAAAATCAGTTATCCTTGTTTGTATGCAAATGTGTGGAGAAAAATGCTTCAAAATCAAATCAGTTTATTCATGGGGGGAATTTGTGGACTACATTTAGGTGTCACCATTTAGGTCTCACCCTACCATGTACAGCGTTGGTGAACGTATACACCACAGAGAAGTAGGTCTCCAGTATCTTTCCAAAATAACGACATGAGGCTCACAACATCCAAACGTGATGACAGAAGCTCTCGTCACATTTTTACAGTTTCCTCAGTTGGCTGATGAACACATGATTTAACAATGGTTGTCTGGCCCGAAGAGAGCACAGCTGATCTAAAAAAAAAAAAAAACAGCTGTTACTGTCAGAGGCGTTTCAGAGACGAGGCTTGACCACAAACCATAACCATAACCATGAAGCCCAAGAGCAGCACAAAGATAGTTTTACAGGCCCACAAAACAACAAGACATACACTAACTAACTTAACTATTTATAGTTGTCTGCTTTTGCAGTTTAACTTCTGTTTAACTTCTGTTAATGCTTTCTTTTATTACACCTTAATTTCTCCGAACCTTTCTTTTGGAAATCTTTAGATTGAGTAATTATTTCAAAATGATTCTTGTCTAAACAATATTTAAAACTGTCATGGCTCCACAGTACTTAATTCACACATTGCTAAGCTCCTGTCCCCCTCAGCTACTGCTGCTACACCTGTCAAGCTTTCCATTCTAGCATGGCACATACGCATTTGAAAAAGTTCAGTTGTTAGCATATCAACATCAGCATCAACTTAACTAAAACTCGCTTTCAAACAAGATGTATATAAATATGTATTTGATGACTACGTGCATGATGATGTCCCGGACATAGAGTCAGCATCCTCACAACCTGTAGAAGATAGAGGTGCAGCATTGTTTGTTGCAAGCATCATTGAGATTTATTATGCTTTATTGTTTCTTGTAAAATGTATATTTCACGTTTACACAGAAAGGCCGCTGAGGATTTGGATTAGCCATTGACTTTGGCAAAAGTAACGCTATGTTACGTAATGGAGTGTAAACTTCCCAAAATCCAATTATGTGCAGGACAGAGCCGCTAACACTCTGATATACAGTCGTAGTATCCAGGACCAGTTTTCACAAAATGGGTTATATCAAAGAGTGGGTGTCAGTACTTTTTACAGTACAGTACATAAGCCCACAAAATGATATAGATAACTAATGAAAGGGAAAAAACGCTCAATTACGTAGTTATGTAGTAAGCTAGTCAAGCGGGCATGCTAATGTTCGCAGCTTATTTTAGAGCAGATAAGCACAAAGTTGAACTCATTCATTACATATTTGCTCTCATGCTTTTGGTTCAAGTGAAAAAATCCCAAACTTGACAGTAAAGCTGTTTTGGGAACAAATTGTGCATCGACCATTTCTCTTGGCTTTAACTCTTTACAGGTGAATTATGAACAGTATCTTGCAGTCTTACAGCTAATTTAGGTGATCATGTTTGCCTACCAGGATTGCTGGATATAAATGTTCATGTTTCTCTTCATTTGTCACTTTCTCTTATAAGTACTGAACCCTTTTTAACTTGTTTGAGTTCCATCTAGTCTTCTCTTTATATCACTGTTTGTTCCTCCATCTCTGCTGTCCTCCTGTACTGCTTTTCCTTTTCAAAAACCCTCCTCCCCTTCCTTAGGCTCTCATCTTTTCACTCCTCCCCCCTGCTTGACCTCTTGCTTCCCTCCACCCTCCATCTTTTTTGCTGTTCCCACATGAATGATGTGTTGCATGTGTATCTCTCACAGACAAAGATGAATGCAGCAAGGACAACGGCGGCTGCCAGCACGAGTGCATCAACACAGTGGGCTCTTACGTTTGTCAGTGTCGCCATGGCTTTGTGCTGCATGAGAACAAACATGACTGTAAGGAAGGTGGGTTTCACGTTCATTCACATCAGCACACACACTGGCATAAAAGCATCGGAGTGCATATGCACGTGCTGCCACATTCACACAAGCATGTGCTCATTCACAAGAGCAGCCATCGTCCATCATACGACCCTTCCTTTGTTTACCCACATCAGAGTCCACAGGACAACAGACTGGTCGTTTCCATTTGAGGACAGTGTTTTCTTTACATACGTTTCCACAGTTGGTGCCTGCAAGCAGAGCTGTTGACGTCGGCATGTGTCACATTAGGTTACAAAGGTGAAGACTAGAGTCATGACCACTGAGACTGGACTTGCACTAAAGCACTTGAGACTCACTCTTAAAGACTTGACTTGTCTCAAATGACTTGAGACTGGACTTGCACTTGTCTCATATGACTTGCTTGACTTGGATTAGCCTTAAAGGGCTTGAGACTTGTCTTGATTTGTCTCAAATGACTTGAGACTGGACATGAACTTGTCTCAGAAGACTTAAAAACAGCTCTGCCTGCAAGTCACTAAAGCTGTTTGTGTGTAAGAAACAGACTCACAGAGAGGGAAGAAGGTTTCAGTTTGACAGAAAACATCATTTATTAGAAGCTATTAGCAAATTCCTCCGCAAATCACACACACATGCGCACACACACAACACACACCCCACTTTTGAATTGACATATTATACTCGTCTCTTTGAAGTTGAACTTTTGAACGTGTGCACACACACCACATCAACGCACACATACTCACCTCACTAAAGGCTCCCTGTGCTGCTCATAAAAACACTCGTGTTTCAAACCTCTGGGAGCTTAAAAGCTTTGTATGTGGCGCTGTCTTCCTGTGCGTATATGTGTGTGTGTTTACGTGTGCATTAGACCAGCCTGAGCTGGTAACATTGCAGAGTCATGTAAATCCATATTCCCATCACACAGTTTGTGTCCGTGTGTGTGTGGTTACATGCATACATATAGTATTGTGCGTGTGAAACTTTCAACATCACATTTTAGTGATAGTAGTCACCTGACAGAAGTGTTTGACACTATGAGACACCAGCCTTTTTTATGAAAGGAAGACAACTGGTAAACTTGAAGCTGTTGGTTTATTTACTTGAATACTGGTAATATTATGATGCAGTGGCGTTATAAACTACTCCTGTTAATGTGAAAAGAGTTTCCCATGTCAGACAACTCAGTTATTATTGTCAGAGCTTAAATCTGTGTTTTGTAAGTAACTAAATTGTTTAAAGGTGTGAGGGTCTTCTGTAACAATAGTGTGTATGACGTCTATATTCAACACTTTGCCTGTTAGAAGACTCTCCTTCATTTACATTGGTCTTGTGAATTCATCCATCTCATTCTGTACCTGGGTTCAGTTTGTCTGACTAAATAAAAAATGTCACTCTGGAATACATGTTGTCTTGTGCATGCCTCCTGCCTCCCATCACCTTCATTAAAGCCGTTCATTTAACTCACACACACACACACACACACACACACACACTGTGACTGTGAGGGCTGCCTTCATAGCTTTTGTTGCATTTTTTTTAACTGAAACGTTCCAGGAGGAAAGCAGTCACAGTTATTAGCATGCTGCAATATTTGCCTGCAGCTGACTTGTTATGTAAAGTATTAAGAGTTATATAGTTGGTCAGTTTTCAGCAAATTATGCTCTTATTGTTTGGCAGTGCAGAGCTTAAGAGTAACTAACAAAGTAATAACAGAACAGTTGAATACAGATGAAAAATAGCCTTTGGACTAACTCTGGCATATTTACAGCAATATTTATTAATGTGCACTGTCCCTGTTAAATAGACTCATAAATACATAAATAAAATTGACTTCTGAGTAACAGTTTCTGTAACATTAAAAAGAAGCAGTGTCGGCAAAGCTGCAGTTCCCAGAGATATGTTGTCTTCCTTGACTTGAACTTGTTTAAAATAACTTTGGACGCAAATTAAATTGCTTAAAAACAGCACTGGTCACTATAGATCTGTTCACTGAGTGTCTGTAAGACTTGAGACTCACTGTGAAAGACTGGAGACTTGACTTGGACTTTCCCAAAAGAAGCAGCACAAACAGACCGCACCGCTGAGTAACTGTTTGTAAGCTATATCGAACCGCAAGGTGAGCAAAGCTTCACATTACAGAGTTTTTTTTATTTTAATTCTTAACAGAAACTAAGTTTTGTTTCTTTGGAGAAAACCCCAGCCAGAGATGTAGTGTTCAATTGGGTTGAGATCTGGTGACTGTGAAGGCCAAATTGTGTGACTCGCATAATTTTTCCCGTACAATGTATGGAAGCATCTTGATTCATTACGTGTTTCCATCTCCGCATCTCTTCCTTGTCTTTGTTCCTTATTTCTGAACTCATCCAGAATGGATCCTGGATCTTAAAAATAATTTGATTGAAACTGCTGGATGCATTAACAATCTCGCACAAGTCTTGTATGTGTGAGGAACAGAATTGAATGCTCAGTAATCGGATGTTTAGTATCCAATCCTTCACATCCTGTGTTTTAAGGATACATTTCCTAAACATCTAATCAGAAAGGGCTTAGACTTTAGACAGCAGTAAGTGCTGTGTTTTGGTTAAAACAGTCTAACTATAAGCAGTGTAACTATAAGCACAAGAAAATGACCCTTTCTCCTAATTAGATCCATCCTACGGGCTTTTGCTTCTATAAATACAAATTCGAAGTTCAAATGTCATCCAGGATAATAACCTTAATTTCACCTGTACGTATTGTAGGTAATGTGTGACTTGTCCTACTACTAATAGAGATACTCCATCCAGACAAAGTGTGCTTGTTTAAAGCCTGCGTGCATGCATCCATGTGAAATCCACACTAAACTTGTCATCAGGATGTGTTCCTTTGAAATCTTTTCTCTCTCTTTCGGTTCTCTTGTTTCTCTCCTTCCTGTTCCCTTTCCATTTCCTCTGACCTTTTCCTGTGCAGCTATGATTTTAACTTCCTCTCTGTGTGTGTGCTTGTGTGTTTCTGTGTGTGTGTGTTCAGCTGAGTGTGAGCATAAGATCCACAGCCCCAGTGGGACCCTGAGCAGCCCTAACTGGCCAGACAAGTATCCCAGCCGTAAGGAGTGCACCTGGGACATCACAGCCACGCCAGGACACCGAGTCAAGATAGTAAGTGTGTTAAAATCGAGAAGACTTCGAGGGCTTGTGAAGCCTCTTTAAACCCTTTACTTTAGCATTATTGTCCAGAACAATGCATTATTCTGTCTGTGGGGTCATATCTTATGTTAAACCCTCAGGCTGCCCTCCCCCCATCTTTCTCTATGATCTCTCCTCCCATGTTCCACTTATGAAACCCAAATGTGAACGGTGGAGAAAGTGCACGTTTGTATATTCGGGCTAACTGCAAGCGTGTGCTCATGCGTTAGAAAGAGGCCTTGGGCAGTGGCCATCTGTGTCCTTGTGGCTTTCTGTGTGTGTGTGTGTGTGTGTGTGTGCGTGTGTGTGTGTGTCTGTGTGTGTGTGTGCATGCCTGCATGCACACACACACACATGCATTTGTGCATGTAAGCATTGATGTGTCACCACAAATAGTCATCTCCACATTTTTCGAGTTACTGCAGCTAGATATTTAGGAATAAACCACAGACATTGTTATTCTCTGCCGTATGCATCTTGGATTGAAGATAGCCGAGGCTGAACGTATAAAGTGTGATGTGTGCGTGGTTATTTGTCCAGTAAGAGACACAGAGAGAGAGAGAGAAAGGAGAGGAGATGATGTGACGGAAGACAAATGGCGTTCAGCTAACAATGTTAGCTTTGATGCAGATGGAGTTTCTCCTGACTCAGGTGGATTCACAGAAGATGCTTAACACTGTTTGCAAGAGGTGATTGAGTGGTCTAGACACGCATTTATAGTCTAACCGTGACGTAAACGTAAACATTGTGACTCTTCAGGTTGTTGCATTGCTAGCGTTTGGATCAGGACATAAAATGCATCAGTGGCGACATGCTAAACTTACTTCACATCCTAATATATATCGCTGCCACTGTTCATGTGCTTAATTGGTTAAGCACATGAGTAGTTAAAAGTATTAACCATTTTATCTATAAAACATAAGAAAGTAGGGAAGAATTTAAACTCACAATTCAATAAAGCCAGAGGCTACGTCTTCAAACTGCATGTTTTGTTCGATCAGCGGTCCAAAACCTAAAGATATTCAGTTTATCATCACAAAACACAAAGAAAATGTGCAAATCACCATTTAATTCTTACATATTTTGACTATTCATTTTTAGTCAATGAATCCGCTGATCTAAAATGCATGTGTATCTTGATCCTGCAATGCAAATTGGTCCTTACAAAGATACAGGAGCACATGCCCACATTCACACAGATAATCCTCCTAAAATCCACTCATGTTCCTCATGCAAATAGTGTCGCACAACAAACAGTAGTTTTTGCACCTATTTTTAATGTGTGAATACATGGGATTTTCACACAAATATATGCAAATTGGGAAATTTGTTTGTGTGTGTGTTGAGATTGTGCTCTCTGTTTCCATCATAATGACATCTCAGTGAGATATATTTAATGCCAGGAATATGAGCATAGACGTGAAGGTCACTCTGTTATTTGCCTCTTCAGTCTCTGTCGGTCACACAAACTTCTCGTGGGAGTAGAGAACAGATCCCCAAACCAGTGTCTCACCCGAGCTACAGTTAGAAACATCTGGAAGCCATCAGGACCCCCAGAATCAAACACTTCCCCTCTCAGTAACGACATCCTCACATCAGCCCACCTTCGCCCCTCTCTCTCCTCTCGCCTGGTTGGTTCAAAACCAATGCGGCGCGGTGCTTGTGGTGGCGTGATGGAGCACGGCTCAGGAGACAATCAGAGAAGTGTGTGTCTGTGTGGGAGAGAGGCCTGCAAGGTGTTATGACTCAGATCACGGTGACTTGATTCGATTAGGAATCGTGACACTGTGTACAATGTACATGCATGCCAGTGTGCAAGCAATGTGTAGGCAAAGAGGCAGGGAGGCAGGCAGTCTGTTCTGAAGATATGTCAAAGAATATGAAATGCAAATATATTTATATTGGCTTGAAAGAGTTTTAAAGGGGTGTGACACTGACGGAAGAGCCTTAGAAATACTCAGCCTTCTCAGCATCTCGACCAAAGGTGCGTTATTGGTGACATTTGTGACATTTGGGTTATTTTGGTTAAAGCAGGTTTAATATTTTTTTTTGTATAATAACAATAGATCACATGACTGTGTGTTCCTTTATAGCAACTTTCAGCTCATTGTTTTGGTTTCTGGTCCTAACTTTACTGTCACCGTTGACATTTGTTTGTTTTTGGCCAAAATAGGCCAATGTTTCCGGATGAAATGCTGTAAAAGAAAATCGCTGTGCACTACCTTCACAGCACCAAGCTACTAAATGGTGACTAAAGTGGAGCATAAAAAAACCTGATATTTCTCAGGAGTTGATGGAGACCAAAAGAGAGCTAAAATAAGAGCTAATAATAGACTTTCATTCATCAGGTGGCCAGAAACACAACTCAAAATAAATGATAATGTTGCTCTATATCTGCTGGATGTGTAACTGTGCAACTGTTTACCAACAAGTTCACCAACCTATCAACTTAAAAGGTGGTAATGTGTCAGCGTTTGTTTCCACTGACCCCAAGTTGCCAAAAAATCTGTTATTGCATGTTTAATTATAGACTGTTTTCTAGCTTCTTCATCCAGCTACATGAACTCAGTTGTGCCTTGTTTTTAATGAAATGATTGGATTCCAATTCAGGAAATGACTCACACAGTTTAATGAAGGCTCTAACAAAGTACACACTCTTGTCATTAGTCTCTGTCTAGTTCCCTTCTGAACGACGTTCATTGTCGTTGCTGTCTGATATTATGCACTGTTCTGAAGCTATGCATACGTGTATATACTGTAGGACATAGATTTGTGGTTTTGTTCTAATTCCTGTTAACAAATATGAACATCACCAAGTGCAAGTTTATCTCAATATAAAAATATCTTAGGCTGCTTACTATTGGCTTCCTCTCTTCAAAGACTCAGCCACATTTTAAGAACAAACAAATGTATGTTTTTAAATCTGAGGTGTCAGAAAAATTGTAAAATGCCTTTCTACAAACAGTGTCCTGTTGATTTTCGGATAATCTAGGGACATCAGCTTGAAAACTTTTCACTGGTAATACTTTCTAACAAGGAAATAGTCCCTATGAAACTGTGAGCAGGGAGGTGAAACGTTAGTCTTTCAGCACTCTCTCACATCACACCCAGCAGTCTCTCATCCTCTCTGCTTCTGCCTCTCCAGGCCTTCAATGAGTTTGAGATCGAGCAGCATCAGGAATGTGCATATGACCACCTGGAGGCCTTCGACGGGGACAGTGACACGGCAACCATCTTGGGTCGATTGTGTGGCAGCAAGATCCCGGAGCAGCTGGTCTCCACCGGCAACAAGATGTACCTTCGCTTCATTTCTGACGCCTCAGTACAAAGAAAGGGTTTCCAAGCTACACACTCCACAGGTGTGTGGAAGCGTATTTAAGTGTTTATGTGTGTCAGTGATAATATCTCACTTTATGTGCAACACTGTGTGTGAGTGTGTGTCTGCAAAAAGCATCACTCACAGTCACCAACGTTGATTTCTCAAGTTTAAATAGATTTTTAAGTTATACTTCCCTCTAGTGGTTCACAACAGCACATGCGAGATGAAAATCATTCACGAAATCTGACAAGAGTTTATTGACTATATTGGACCAAACAAAATCTAACAAATGCCTGATTTATCAGAGTAATATGTCCCTCTTTCCTGATCCTGTGTCTGTGCAGAGTGTGGAGGTCGTCTAAAAGCAGAAGCTCGTCAGAAGAACCTTTACTCTCACTCCCAGTTTGGAGACAACAATTATCCGGGTCACACTGACTGCGAGTGGCTGCTGATGGCCGAGCAGGGCTACGGCATCGAGCTGAGCTTCATTACGTTTGAGGTAGAGGAGGAAGCAGACTGTGGTTATGACTACATCGAGCTGTACAACGGGTACGACGCCAACTCACATCGACTCGGCCGCTTCTGTGGTTCAGGGGTAAGATTTTATGTTCTTTTTAAAGGCTCAATTTTCACCTTCGACGTGAAAACTCAGCCAGGTTTAGGGGACTGTTACACCAACAATGAATTGATTTCACTAAGAAGTACTGCTTGTATAACCAAACCCTGAAAAATGTTATTCCTCTTTCCTGCAGAGCTCCATTGTTGTCCCAAAAACTATATAAAAACACACGTTTGATACTGGGTGACATGTTCCTTCATTATAGGCATTGTACTTTATTTGTGTCGATCACACATGCACCATCCTGCTGCTGTAAATACTCAAAGCACCTGCATATGAATTTAGTACCCATCAAATGTGCCGTAAAAACTACTGTGTCCATATGACAATAAAAAACCTAATTATATGTCTGCGAACCGGTTGGGAAGTCAGAAGGTATTGAGAGAGGTTTAGGTCTTTTAATACATAATCAGATAAATATATAGTAACATCAGCCTTATCTTTACCTACAAATAATTTACACTCTGTCCATTTTTGAAAGCATGCTGCACTATTTTAGATGTTTCATATCATTACAGGCAGCCTGACTTGCTTGACTTGTGTATATCACAGTAGACATCAACAGATATTTAAGTTCTTGTACAGTTGATATTGAAAAATAGATTTTTGGGGGTATTGGTACTGAATTCAGGTATTGTGTTGACACCGTGAAAGTAAAAAGTTCTCCACCTAAATGTAATGTAAAAATACATTAGCGTTGTCAGCAAAACATGCTTGAAGTATTAAAAATGAAAGTACTCATGTGGAAAAATGGACCCTGTAAGTGATACTCAATACAGTACAAGTACCTCAAATGTGTACTTATTGTAAGTACAGTATTTGTAATTGTACCTTGTTATGTTCCACAAATGAGGATGACACAAGTTTCAAAAGTTTCTAATTGATGTTCATACAGAATTAATGTAAAATTTGCCTTGAAAGTGGGAAAAAACACACCTAAGCTGTAATGTAAAGTATATTAATAATAATAATAATATTATATTAAAACCACAGTTATGAACCTCTAAATGTCTGACAAAGTCTGATATGCTTCATGTGTCCCTCCATCTTCCCTTCCTCAGCCCAGGGAGGGCATCTACTCGCCCGGAGGTGCTATGCTGATCCGTTTCCACAGTGACGACACAATCAGCAAGAAGGGCTTCCACATCCGCTACACGAGCACCGAGTTCCAGGAGAGCCTTCACACCAGGAAATGACCTCACACGCAGCCCGTGACCTCTGACCTTTGTGCAGCCCCACGCCACTGTCACCCTGACCTTCACCATGGCAATGAGAAAAGTACAGCCTGTCCCCTCTTCTCTGACCCGACAGACAGACGTGGACGTTTGTGGACGCTCGCCAGCCGCGGGAGGAAGACGACACTTTATGTGAACATTGGTCTCCCTCTGTGGCTCCACACAGGTCATCGCACTCTTGATACGAGACCGGAAAAACAATGAGACATCCACAAAAGCTTCAACCAACGTGACGACTGAGTGAGCCATTTCTGTGGAAGAGATGGTTTTCATTACTGCACACCGAGCTACGCTCGCTATGGATGCTCATGGTCGCAAAACAAAAGAGTACAAACAAACACATAGACACACGAGATTCATATTCAGAATTATAAACTACGGATGCGTGAGGAGCGTCGACCTAAAACAAAATGCATCCAACCAGGGAGTTTAGAGACTTTTCCGACTCCTTGAACTGTGACTTACTGTGATCAGACGGCTTCTCAAACCCACAGCAACTGAGAGGAAACGCTAAATAGACATTTTTATTGCCTTTGATGCCTGGGAACTGGTCTCTTCAGCCCAGCTCAGAACGGCTGCAGATGATTTTATTTCATGTCTTATTGTAAAACCCATTGTGTTTACTGTATGTGTGTACAGAGAAAAAGAAAAAACTAAATTCTGGAGTCCGTCATTTGCCCTTTTTGCTTAAAGCTTATGCAGACGACCATCGTGGAATGGGAAAAAATATATAAAAATGCAAATTGTGAATTTCCAAATGATCTGTGATGTTATTATTAAGCCTTGCATTATGTTATGTGTGTGTGTGTGTGTGTGTGTGTGTGTGTGTGTGTGTGTGTGTGTGTGCGTGCGTGTGTGTGTCCATGCTGTTTTTGAGTTTGCACCGTCTTGTAGCAAACTTTCATGGATGTTTCCGTTTTTCCACCTCACCCCAAAATAAAAAGTGGATATCGGAAGGGAATATTTTCATAGCTGTCTCTCGGAGTGATACCATTCTGATTGAAGGAGAGATTCCCATGGTGCTAAAAATAAAAAAATACATTGAATGACAGACGAGTTTGGTTGGAAGATCAGGTTTTGGAAACACAGTCAGCGTGCAAACAGCACACTGCATCAACAGCACTAGTCCTGTGGAACTACAATATTGCCTTACAACCAAAATGTATGCTGCAGAAGGTCGCTCCTATGCTCTTGTGGCAGTGTATTGCATTTGTTTGGAGAGCTTGAATGGTTTTATTGTCAAAAAAAAAAGCAACAACGAAAAACATGGGAAATGTAGTCTGTGTGTGAGATAGAGTCTCAATGGTGCATGTGTGTTTGTGTGTCATTTGTGTAGCTGCTCTCAGAGATACATACACACATGCTTACACGTCAAAAAACAATTTGTGTGCGTTTTCCCAAACATCTCAACACACACTTTCCCCCTTCTGTATATTTGGAGCGTGGAGAACAAAGTGATGTAAAGTTGAAGGAATATCAAGGTGCATACAGGATGCATCATCTGTTTTGTTAAATGAAAACGTGTAAGTGTGTGTTATAGGTGATTATAGAGAAAATAATGTGTGTGTATGTCTGTAAACTATGTTTTTAAGTTGAATCATTCATCGCTGTACGTGCCAAGCTCCAGGTGACCCTGATCCACTGTAGTTTTTTGTTTTATCATTCCACCTCTGTGTCTGTAGTTCAGGGACACTGACATGACGTCCTCCGCATCAGTCATTAAAATACACACAGGTAAAAACCACAAGCAGCTGTGTTTCGTGGATTATTGCTGTGTTTGGTGAATGGCTTTATGTTCTTTTGACCTGATGATTATATTATACTTATAAAACACGTTTCATAGTGTTTAATGGCTCAGATTAGGTCTGTTGTAATCTATTACTCTGTTTTCCACTATTAGTCCATGGCAAAGGTTTAGTAAAAGAAGTCACGCTAAAATAATCGGTCAGCCCACTTTGAGTGTTTTTGTTAGACTTTATTTCCTATCTGCAGCTGTTTCTGCTCACTTATTCTACATCAACAGCCATCTCATGTGTTTTCTATGGAGTCTGGAGTGCACAAAGTAAACATAGTTTTTTTTTAGTGTAATCAATTTATAAATTGAAACATTTTGGGAAATACGCTTATTTGCTTTCTTCCCGAGAGCTACATGAAAAGATTAATCCCATTATCCTGTCTGTATGCTAAACATGAAGCTACAACCAGCAGCTGGTAGCTTAGCTTAGCATTAAGACTGGAAACAGGGGGAAACAGCTAGCCTAACTAAGGTCATTTTGCCAACCAGCATCTCTAAAGCTAGTAGATTATATTGTGACTTGGTGTGTGTTGTTCTATTTATTTATGCAACTTCCTAGCATAAATTCCACCTCACAAACAATATGCAGAAGTGCTATAGTGTATTTATAAACTGAGTACAATTAAACACTGACGAAGTTTATAATCAATGTGGTGGCACCATCAAACTCCGTATAAAGTGCCATAGTGTTTGAGTTAAAGCCCTACCTGCTGGCAGCAGAAGAAAGTGTGATTTTATTGGAAGGTAACATTTTAATTAAACACCTCGCATGCCCACCAGCCGCGGGATTTTGTTATAAACCAAACTGCTGTTAAAAATAATCAAATTTAAGGTGGAGTGGTTCTGGAAAAACTGCACGCTTGTCAGAGAACTCTTTTCCCGTGTGTGTTAATTGGAGGGGATGGCGATTACCTGATCAACAACAGGCTTTCAGGATCTCAAGTATCGATGTGAGAGGATTTACCAAACATGGAGGCAGCAGGACAACTTGGTGAAATTGGGCAAACATAGTGAAGTAACCCAAACTGACTGAATGACAGCAAATTGAGGAGAACAGGTATGTGCTCTCCGATTACCACCTACTGTATGGAAAATGTGAAATAGCGCATTGTGTCAAATAGTGTAATTTTCTGATTTTGCATCTGTGCAAAGTTGTTACCCAAACGTTTATTCTACTGAAAAACGCCACTGCCTCCTGTGCAGGTACCGTCAACGTTTCATAATGGTAACTTACACCCACTGAAGTACTAGAGTGAGTTCAATATGTGTAATTATGTTATGAGTAGAGTAAAAAAATAAAAATAAATTCATCAAGGCTCGAATCATTTCAGTCATGAAACATTAATATGAATGTAGCTCTACAACAGATTAACGTTTGACCCATTTTAAACACAACAGCTTGGCGGTATCTTGAGGATAAGCCACTTACCTTTATAGGATCAGTTTGACGAGCTTCAGGTGACACACACACACACACACACACATACGCACACACACACACACACGCACAGAGAGAAAGAGTTTGGTGCCACTGTTATACAGCCAGTCAACCACTAGAGAGCGCTCAGTTTGAGCTTTTCAAAGGTCAGTGATCCGATCTGCTCGAATGTTTTGACTCCATCTACAGTTCCTCCAGAGAACTGCAGTGGCATCACTGTATGTTCAGGGCCAAGCTTTGAGGAACAGGTCACCCAAATTAGAAGAATACTTTTTTCTCTTGCCCCTAATGGTATTTACCTTTTACTATACATCTATGTGACTTCTACCATCCCAATACAATACATATTAAGTTGAAAAGAGTTTTGATTGTGCTGCTCAAAGCATTAAAACATGAACCAAAAGCAAACTTGAGTTACTAATGCATATAGGAGCAGGATGTGGAATTTAAAATAATGTCTTTATTTTGTCCCTCATGAAAGGTGTTTAATAAATCCCACATTGGTTGTTTCTGCTCCTGTAAAAGTGAGTGTCTGAAGTTATTCGTCTAAAGAAAACCACAGAACCATTTAAAACTAATCATAAGACTTTCTAGACTTTCACTGAAAAATTGCAAAATTATTTAGAGCTGCAAACTAACAATTATTTTCAATAATCTGCTTGTTATTTTTGTGATAAACAGATTCATCTTTTTGTCCACAAACTATAAGAGAATAGTGAAAATACTAATCACAATTCCCCTCAGCATAAGGTTACATACTCGGATATCTTTCTTTGTAAGTTAAAAAAGGCAAAAGATGTTCAGTTTACTTACAAGACAAATAAAAGCAGCAAATGTTCACATTTCAGAAGCTGGAACTATGAAATTTGTGTCATTTTTGCTTTAAAAATTTTGCTTTCAAACAATCCCCTGATTATCAAAATAGTTGCTGATCAATAAACTAATCATTTCAGATCTGAAATGATTACTTTCTAGAAACAATAGTTTATTGTTTCTTATTATAGATGATCTATTATTATAGATAATACACAGATGGAGCCGGTGTCAGTTCACAACCACAACTGCTGAGTGTATGGCAGTAGTAGCAACTGAATTCACAAATTGTAATCATTCTGCCTACAATTATTAATTAATCTATTGATTACATTCTCCATTAATCATATGGTCTACATACTCAAGTTTCCAAAGTGCATATTGATGTGCAGAGTATCTTGTTTTGTCTGATCAGTTTACTATCATAGATGAGTAAGAAAAGTTGAAAATATTCACATTTGAGAAGCTGATATAAGTCAGTTCATGCCTTTTCTGTTTTTTATGCATATTTTGTATCTCAACTATTACGCTTAAATATGGACTACATAAGTCCTTAAAGGGCTCAGGGAATAGTAGATGTTAATATTTCCATTTTTCTGATAACTTGGCGAACTCGATCTACCGAGGAATATCATGTGATGGTATCAAAAGATCCAGATCAGACGCTGAATGAACCTCTCGGTGGGATTGTTTTGGTGCGGTATCTGGGATGTACATGTGCATGTGTTGGGGTGCAGCTCATTTTGTCCAGACATCATTTTTGGTCACATAGCATCTTTAATACCACCATTATAATAATTAGGATATCAAAAGTATCGAGTATACATACATCATTTGCATTGCGGTACACAAATCTGAGCTGATTTATGTTTTTATATCTTTCATTCGTTGTTCTCAGGATCAACTTTTATTGTCTCGACATTGTGCTGACATTGAATTGTCCTGAAGAACTTGACGCTATTTCAGGAAGGAGAACATTTAATTGGACATGTATTGTTAAGTAATATAAAAAGATTTTTTTTGATATTTCCAAATGTAACTTGAATCCTATAGTCTACTACTTTCCAATACCAATAGTCAATAATCTTGATATAAGCCAAACTAGAGTCCATGTCACCAAAAATCAAAGTACTTCAGGTAGGTTTCTTCACCTACGTTGGTCTTGATATTCTGTAGTTTTTCTTCTCTTTTTTGCAGTAAAGTTCTTGAAGCTGTGGGAACAGTCTCTTGAAGCCATGCCTGTTTATATAACAGTCCCAGTAAATGGATTCTCAGGAGTCTGAAGATGTGTGTGTGTGTGTTTGTGTGTATTGGTTGAGGAAAGTGAGGGTCAAAATGGTGAAACACCTCACTTCCTCCTCCACCACCACCGTTCATGGTCTCGGTCTGTGCTGCCTGTCAGACGCTGGTGATGGAGGCCAGGCAGTTCGATGACTTCTGGAGTTTCTCAGGCTGTGTGGTGGGGGGTTCTGGGATGGCGCGAAAGCTGAATGGCAGTCCGATACTACTCGTGCCGATGTGGCCGGGGCTCAGCGCTGGATTCTGCCGTCTATTGCTTTCCACGATGCTGGATGTGTTGGATGCAAGGCTCTCACGCGTTCTGCACAAGAGACAACAAGAAGTCAAGTGTTTGCTTTCAAAACACACTACAGATCTCACATTGTGCATCTCATAAGGTGTGCTTGGCTAGAAAGAAGAATATCAGTGAAATAAATGGAAGCAATTTGCAGAAGATTTTGCAGACTGAAGAAAAACGCCGATGAATTGTAGTTACTGAGAATGATAATAATAATAATAATTCCAGGTTTCCTCCCATTATAATCCCAAAAGTTTTCAGTCATTCATCCAGGAAAAAAACCTAAAAAATCAAATGTAATAAAGCAACTTTGAGTCCGAGTAGAAGCCATAACCATATATAAAGTTGATCATTAATTAAATCATATTTATATCATATTAAATCATATTTAGCACATGCTTCATGTTGTGTAAATTGCAAATTTTACATTATTTATTCCTCATATTTAATATATTTTAGCCCAACATTTATGTTTGAAGAGTAATCTTTCTTAGGAACTTACTGTACATATGTATCATTTTTTATAATTAATTCTATTAATTTTCCACATGAAGATTAGCCGGTGGAAAGCCTGTATAATGTCTTCTGTGGCTCTGATGGAGGCGTTCTAAAACCCAGATGATGTCATCAGGGTTATTTTCCC